GCTTTGAATGAGGGCTCAAAGATGATGCTTTTCTCCTTAACCTATATAAGTGTTGTGGACAAGCACGTTGCTGATGATAACAATTAATACAGATAGTCTCATGTTGTTAGAATAATGATTAAATATCCAATTCAAACTTTAACAAGCAATTCCACTCCTACATAAAAGTCTGCGAAAGTCCACTTTTCAGAGCAATTGTTTGTGTGTATTCAGAAACAGAGCAGCCTGCTCAGACACACACACACACACACAGACACACAACACACAGAGGTTTTGGCTTACGGCAAGTGGTCGAAGTCCTCCATGGTGCCCCTGGGCCTGACGGTGACCCGGTTGACCTCGTTGTGCAGGCCGTCCAGGAGAAAACGCAGGAACTCCTGAGCGTCCTGTTGACTGCGAGGACACCAGCAACAATCACAGCCTTGAACATCAGATGCAGCTCTTTTCTGCCCGTATTCAGAGTAATCTCAATTCTCAAACAAGAACAACCCAATTCAGACCTGCCCAAAGTGCCCCAAATTGTGAAAAACAGAGTAAAGACCACCAAAGCTTACTTGTATCCCATAAATCTGGGGGCGTATCTCTGGATCTGAGTTTTGAACTCGGATGGACTGACTGCCTCACTGCTGGATGACGTCCACATGGTCTGTATGAGCTTGGCAAATTCTACGCAAAGAAAAAAAAAAGGGAAACTCAATCCGTGATTTATCAAAAAGAAATGAACCTCATCTCAAATTTAAAAACGAACGGGAGCTTCACGGGACTGTTCCGGGCTCTCGGCGCTCACCTTCCATGAGGGCTGTGTTTGTGCGGCTGTTGTTGTTAAGGTCTCTGCGGTGTGAGTTGTGCAGGCAATAGTCTCGCAAGCTGTGTGTGTTGCTTAGACATTGCAGAATACTGTTCATGAAACACTGAAAGGAAACACAACGCAAATCAGTACAATAATATCAAATAAGAATTTGCATCTGCCACACTTTGAAATATCCATGTTGTGCATGAAGCATTTACACAATTAAACAAAAAACATTTCGGCTTCAAACGTCACTTCTTGGCTAATCTCGTGTTTTCTGAAATCTGCACTCGCTGCCTGGCAACAAGAATCCAAGAAACTGCATCCATCAGCCCATCAAACAGTCTTGCTTCTCTTAGTCACTCTCACAAAGTGTTCCATCTTTAATGATGGAGACTGGTCTGTGTATGAGGAGGCAGCTGACACACGCCCGACAGCACAGCGTGTGTGTGTGTGTGTGTGTGTGTGTGTGTGTGAACTGCTCCCATCACGTGTCCGCGTATTTTGACTGGCTGGAAGCAGCCAGAGGGACGGAGCCAGCTCTGCTCTCCGTTTCTGCTCTCAGCTTCGCTCTAAAACAAGTTTCTGAGTGTGGCGGTAAATCAGAGGAGACGTCCGGCTCAGGATAGAGCAACAAAAAAATAATACTCACAGTGTTTCCTAGGTTCTTCAGTCCAACCAGGCCCTGGGCACTCTTTGAGTTCTGAAAGAAGAAACGCAGACGCTGACTTCACAGGTTTTGTAAAACATGCAAATTAAAAACAGAGGACCAACATCTCATTGACGATCAAATCAAAGGGTGGTTAACACGATTTCCCCAAAGGGAAATGATCTTGTTGCAGTATCCGTGTATTTTCCGCTCCACTGGGTCGTCTTTACGCAGTGCAGAACCAACCTCTATGTTCATCAGCTAGTGAAGCAGCCCCTCTTTTAACAAATCACGGACAGCAGGCCGGAGAAACCCTTCCAGGACCGGTCCAGTCCAGCCGTCTCCACATAAACTAACCTCATCTCAAATTTGAACAGGACAAAAATAGAGGATTTCTGACATTACAAGTGTGTTCAGGCAGAGCTTCAGCTCCACTAATCCCTTCACAACAGTGACGTTACACACCGATTATTCAAATGTACAATGACTAAATACATATGACTTCTTTTGATTCTATAAGATGCAAAAATAATTGACCATTTTGGGACTAATTCATAATATTTTTAATTGAAGAAAAACTAAGATATTCAACAAAAATATGCTCCATCTCCACGGTGCAGAGGAGTGTGAGCGTGGTTTTCCTCAAACAAAACAAAATGAAAAAGAAAAACATCTAGTTTGTGGGCTCGGTTCGTACAGTACACATTAGTAGAGGGCGTGCCATGTTCATTAAGTCGTGCGGCATTATTCCTCGTCCACAATCAGTGTGGTTAAAAATCTGTTTTCCTCTCTAGACATAAGACGAAATGCTGGTGTCTAAGATATCGAAAAGACATGTAATGAAAATGGGGAGAAACTGCTGAAAAGTCAGTGGAGGATTCTCAAAAGCAGAGCTTTGAGTCCTAATCTCTTAAAATATCCTTCATTTTTTTGATGAATTGATGATTGTCAGTGACGTACAGTTTGTCTGAGATCCTGTCAGTTATGGACCGCCTCGTTTTAAACTCTTTACATGGTTTGCTAAGAGTTTCCTTGTACACACGAGTGGGAAGCAAAGCAAACATTGTTTGGAGTTCCCCATGCTTTCGTAAAGGTTTCGAGGTTGTGTATATTGAGGATCTAAAGTCTAAAAGAATTTGTGCTCAGGTATGGCAGACAGGAAAAACAAGTTGAGAAGACCGATTCAGTCCTTTGATACTCCAGCCAAATATTTTCTAGGCATACATGCAGGCTAAAGGAATAAACGAAAGAGAACTGGCAAGATAAAACTAAGTGAAACATGCATGTTGAAGAAGCAAACACAAATATATACCGAACACGGTTTATAAAACAATACATCCAAATGAAATGTAAAATAAGCTCCTCCAGCAAGCCAAAGCAACAACAACAAAATAAAAAAAGAGGACAAAAACCCTGATCTCTCCTCTCCCACCTCTAACTCTGTGACAGCTACTTGTGAACATGGCAGCAAGGTCCTCCAGATAATTCCCCCCCGATAAAGAAAACAACCTCTCAGTCCTAAATAATCGCTAAGCTTCACCTCTAAAATCAGAGGGCGTTTCAGTTGTCGGTGGCTCCAATGTGCAACAACACCCCTCGGTATATGATTGCCACACTCTTATGGCAAGTCCAAAGGTTTACCTCGGGGCATGAACAGTAAAACCGGACCAAGTCGATTTATAACGCCCCCCCTGTAGACTGAGAGGAGCAGTCGCAAACATTCTTTCCATAATACTCGATTTGGATCGTATCCAAGCCCAGAGAATTGAGCAGAAAAGGAAGGGGGCATCTTGTAGACCTGATGGGAGATGAGCTGAATATTGAAATGATGATTAGGTTTTAACCTGGTGGTGGGAACGGCTGAGAATGACCGGTGGTGGATGCTGACCCGGGTTCGGACTTGGTGCCAGGCTGAGCGTTTGGGAACATGTTAGCGCTGAAGCTTTTCACAAAGCATCCCATCAGATATCCACTTTCTGTAGCTTCTGCCGTGCAAAAATCATTGGAGGGTTATTCTAGTGGCTTCGACCGTCCAAGTTGTTGACTTTAGATGACCATTTTTTTTAGCAAACGTCACAGCACCGAGACCATGTGTCCTCCAGTTCTCTGGTCCGATGACTCATCCTCTATTATTAGACTCTGGTCTCGGTCCAGTTTGACATCCAGCTGGTTAAAGGAAGCTCCGAATTCAAATTGATTTGACTTTGTAAATAAAAACAAATCTCCGCCGTCCGGTTGTTCCATTCGCCATCCCTCCCAGGTGACAGAGACGTGGCCTTCCAGATTTAAACGCTACGCCGTAAAGAGCATTAAACTGAGATGTTTTAGCTCCGTGATGATGATTTACAAATGCCACGCAATGCCTTGCGTCACCACTTACAGCAGTTAAATTTCATTACATAAGTTGAGCGGTTATGTAATGGAGTCGCCAGATGAAAAACTAACAAAGAAGAAGGGGCTGGATAAAGAATGGGGCTGGTGCTCTTTGTCAACAAAGCAGCTGCGGCCGCTCCTGAAAATAACAAATGTGTAATATTAAAAGAAAAAAGCAGGGGCAAAAGCAATGACGTGACTCCTTTCAACGGTTCGAAAAACAGGAAAACAGACAAACTAGTCGAGAACGCAAACTGCGGCATGTTAGCTTTAAACTAGCATTTTCCAAGCAGGAGGCAGCTTAACTCTCCCCCGGCTCTCTGTTTACCAGTCACCTGACCACTGGCGCTGAGATCCATCTCGCTCACATGCTTCCCATTAGCCTCACCTAAGGTGAAGCCGGCCCCCACCCGCTAAGAATACCATGCATTAGGAAAACCCTGGAAAAGGACGGAAGCCAAAATGAGGCCACTGAAAGGGGGGGGATCTTCTTACTAGGCACGGAGGGGGAAAGAGACATTATTTTCCTTGGGGGTTTAAAAGCATCGTCTCACAGATTAATCAACTATAAGTAAGGTCAAGTATGGAAACAACAAGTGACCAAAATACTCGAATCCTACTTCTGAAGAGACAAAAGGAGAATCTATTCATCACTATGTAGAAAAGGCTAAAGCATGCTCATGCATGCGGTGACCTCACCACACTCTGGGTGCGTCCTGACATCATCAGAGTTCAAAAGGTCACCACCAGGCCACTGACAGGGACACGAAGGGGCCATCAGATCTGACATTTTGACGGGCGCTATCTGTGTGTTTTTATTTGCTGATGAGTGCGAGTTCAACATTAACGGATGCCCGGAAACTCAATTTCCATTCCAGCAATCCCCCCAAAAACCAGGGGGGAAATGCTTTGAAGCTTTAAGCTGCTCGGCGTGGTTTCATCAAAGGGAGCAGACTGCAGATCTGATGTATCCTTCAAGTAAAAATCTGACGCTGCCGCTTTAACTGATGACCTTAACGGCGGCCGATTGTGAATTCGTCTCAGGACTTAGAAAAGAGACCCTCTGTGTTCTCTGCCGGCTCCCGGGACGGCAGACATCAAAGGGGGGCATTCCTATCCTGAGATCCGCTGTGGGGTTTGTAGAAGTCCACATGATTGGAAGCACGTTCCATCTGTTGGGCCTGCAGCTCATCTTTTGACGGGCACTGAAACGGAGGCCTTTTTACCACAATATCAATGAGCCCTGCCATCTGTCCGTACACCGCACAGTGTGCAGAAGAGCAGAATCTACGTTATAGTTAACTGTAGCTTATCTCAATCCTCCTTTCTGTGAACTGAACACTGCCTTTAGAATCAGAAACGCAGGCGTCTGCGGCCATGAGAACGCCATGAGCTGGTGATGACTCTGTGGTGATGCACAACCAGATCTGGACACCCGGTTTCTTTTTTCTGCCATGCACATGCCCACCCCCCCCCCCCCCCCCCGGCTGATACGGACGCCTGACGTTGCCGTTCTCTGCTGAGTAATGCAACAGCCGGCACCCCAAAAATAGCAGCTTTGCGTTTGATAACAACTGCTTGTCCACACACAATTGGCTGACGGCTCCGGCAGCCTGGTGTACGTCACGGTGGTGAAACAATGTCCTGGCGCTGTCTCCGTAGCAACACTTCTCTGACTTTCTGTGGAATGGAAAGCTAGAGGACACGGTGACAGTGACAGGGCTGAGAAAAGAGAGAGAGAGTGTGTGTGTGTGTGTGTGTGTGTGTGTGTGTGTGTGTGTGTCTGAGACGGTGTGTGACACAGAGGGAGGGATGGGACGTGAATGACCTGAAGCAGATGTGACTTCTGCAGCTTTTCTACTAATTTCTAGAATTTATTAAGCTGAAAACAGAAAATTTGCAGGAACAAGAGGCAGCCGTCCTGTGATAAACATAATGTGTTCAAAGGAAGGGATGAGGAGTACAATGACATATATAAGTATCCACTTGGGATTTCTTCTTTATGCTTTTAGTGAAAGAAAATGTATTTGAAAAGTTTTTTTTTACTTCAGAATTGACTAAATTAGTTAAAAGAGGTCCACAAACTGGGCAATTTTAAGGAATAATGGATGGTGCTAAATACAGGGGAATTCTTGAGAAAAACCTATTGCAGACACTAGGACAGATTTTCAAATTCAAGCAGGACAATGACCCTCCGCATACTACTAAAACAACACTGAAGAGATTTGAAATGTACACTCAACTCACTTTCACTCTCCAGCTGGTTGCTGTGCAAACAGCTGGATAACAAATGAATGAACAATATTTGAGAATACAAGCCTCATATAGTTATGGGACAGGTACAGACTGAGCCTGTGTGAATGGAGTAAAGAGGTTTAGCAAAATTCAGAGAACGGGCATTAATTCTAAAGATGCTCTTTGTATTGGTCCAAATGCATAGATAGCATGTTAAAGTCATTATGACTGAAAAAAACTAAAGAAAAACTAATTTAGTGTTGCACGTGCCTCTTATAAATACTCTCTTTATGCATACATTCAAACCATCCTGACCAAAGGCAGAGTGATCCAAACCTTAAAGTCTATTTAAAGTATATTATTGTCATGAACATACAAACAGTGGGCTTCGCAGGTTTTCAGGTGCTTAAATAGTTATGCAGAAACAGCCCCACGTTTTTATGCTGTGTAAAAAAAAGTTATGATGCTTATAGAAAGCAATCAGTATTTTTTTCTCTATTATTTAAAGAGTTACTTTGGTTAAATCTGTTCATTGTCCAACCTCATGGAAAATATCGGCTCCATTTGTTTCATACTGGCAATGGAAAATTTCCATGAAGGTAAGAATGCGACGTGAGCACAGGAGAGAAAAACTTTTGTACCGTTTTGGCTCAGAGGGGGGGCTGGAGGTGGTGTGGCGCAATAACAAGCGTCCGGCACAGACGCCGTCATCTCATTAACACACGAGGAGTTTACTCCAGGTCACAGTCAAACGACCATTCTGGTCAAGCACCTGCCGTCGGCTATGTGCACGTGGTGTGATGGCCGCCGGTTTTTGTTGTTGGAATTATTTGTATATCAAAATACCATAAAAATGTCGACTGTTACATTATACTACCTAGACCTAAATAAAGGGAATATATCACAGGGACCTCTATGATAATATATATGATGAGACTGATAAGCAAGAGATGGAAACTTAATACAGAACCTCTGTCCGATGGAGGATCAGCATCATATTAGTTATGTTCTCCCAGCAGCACAGCAGCTCTGCATGTGCCTCTGGGCTGTAATCCTGCCTTCATATCAGCAGCAGCAGGATGCCCGGGTCCACCTGGCAATGCGCGAGAGGGCCGACTGCTGACTGGCTGACGACACACGGTGACAGGAGCCGGGGGAACATTGTGTTCTGACCTGTCCGGGGGCTGTCGGGAGGACCATCATAAGCAGCTTTTGTCACATTGGGCGACTGATCACCTTTGTTGTGGCGGTGTGTGCTGGGAGTCAGAGGGTGCAGGGGCTTATTCATAAGCTGAGATAGCTATGGGCTATCAGATGCCCTCCAACAGGGGTTTTCCCTTAGCACCAACTTGGCTCTACATTCCTCGCCATAGGTCAGATTAATGGGCTTCCATTACAAGCGGGGTCATGACACAAAGACGCGGCATCATTTGTATGCGGCACGAGCAGAGACAACAATAAAGCCGGCCCCTGAGCTTAGCGGAGCGGGGTTGATAGTGGGAAAACCTCTATTTGTTACATCACCGGGCCCGAGACTGAGCAAAGACACTGTTCGTGGCAATCTCGCCACGATCCAGCGTTGCTCAGATAATGAGGCAGAGCATGTGATCAGAGAAATGGTACACTGGCTTCTTATGTAACGGCTCCGTCCGCGCTCACACGTCTCTGCTGGTATGCGCGGCTCTGGTGGGAGAAAAAATTAACCACCGAGCTGGCAAGCACCACGGCTGGCTTGTGTTTACAGTCCGCTAAAAGCTGGAGGCCAGCCCCCGCCTGTATCTAAACATAAGACATTGGAACATGACCAGATACGAATGTGTAACAAAGCAAAAAAAACAAACAATAAATTCAAGACATGATTCATTTTATCTATTGTTTGGAAACTAAATTTCTTATTTTGGCTGATAAATCAGCTCTGTTATTGTTGTGTAAGTATGAAAAAATATGGAAGGTTTTGAGGTTGAACTACAGATGTTTTAGCCAAAGAGAATGCATTACAGTGAATTGCTCTGTGGCCGAAAATGTCAAGGCCATGAATCCTTGCATTTGGTGTGCACAGATTATTCTGACACTCAGCTCTAACCTGAATTTACGATGAGCTGTAGAAGACAATGTGTTGTACAGGAACAACCTTGATCTGTGCAGGTTTGATACGTGTGAGATTACGGATAAGAGCCTCGGCGGAGCTCAGTGTAAGCTCACGCCAGAATGTTATTGTTGTGTATACGTTCGAGCGTACACACACACACACAAAAAAAAGGACACGGCTGCACGGGTGCTGTCTGTGGAGAGGTGGCAGAGGACAGAAGGACAGGGGTGGGAGGAGCAAGCGGAGGGCGACAACAAAACAGGAGAGCACGGCGAGCTGCCGGAGGCCGGCCGGTGCTGAAGTGTGCTCTAATGCAATTTCCCATTATGTAAGAGAAGCTGGCACACGGCGGCTGCACGCCACACTGTAGTCATCTGTACACGCGAGAACAAATGCGGAGAGATCACGCCTTATCGGCGGTGACTGTTGAGATCACGATGCATTTAGCTATGGCTTTTAAGTCTGATAAGAGACTGGGAACGTCTCATCAAAGGTAGCAGCAAATCTGTCCAATAGAAGTTTTGTCGCTGAACAACGTGACTTGAATTGTTTTCATTCAATTTAATTATTAGCAAAGAAAAGAAATATTTAGCTGTCTACATTAAGGGGGGAAAGTTGCCTTGCTCTGGAGTGGCTGGTGATTTTTTCCAGTGGAAAAAAACAAAAAAGTTTCATATAAATCAGGTCAATTAGCAGAAATTACCAATATCTATTTTCTGTAAAAAGTAGTCCTAGAAGCCTCTTTCCCCCCCAAAAGTGGCCCCAGCTTTCAGAGGATTTCGGTGCAACATGTTCCCACACTCTTTGGTTTGTTGGTGGCAACAACAAGCGCACAATCAACGTTCATTTACTGCACACACAAAGTCGTGTGAGAACAACTTACACCTTCATTCATTTGACTCTGGGATGAGAGTACCAAACACAGGAGAGCCCTGAAGAATGGTGGAGAAGGATTATAGTGGTTATATAACCAGTGACCTGCCAGTACAGGCCTGCTGATCCTGGAACGGCACAGCGTGGAACAGCACAGAGGCTTAAAAGACGAGCTTACCCTCTGAAAATGACTCAAATTTCCACTCAGAAATGATCAAATATGGAATCACCTCTAGCTGTATCGAGAGGCGTTTGTCGTAAAAAACGAGGCGATTTCTTCCATTCGAACACAAAAAAACCGGTCGATCACCTTGAAGAGCCATTCACAAATCCAGCACACTCTGTTCTAGTGAGCCGCTCACACGCCGGGTGGGTGCGCACATCCCTGGACTCGACCTCCCTCCATCACAAACCGAGCCTCCAGCGGCGTGAAGTTTGAGAGGATCGCACACACACACACACACACACACACACACACCCTCCATCCCGCTCACCTTGGCTTGGTTTATGAGCAGCCCCACGAAGGTGGACACGAGCACGGAGCCCGACATGCTGCTCTTGCGCCGCATCTCCTGCCTCAGGAAGGGGAAGGCGGCGGCGGGCGGCTCCTCGGGCACCGTCACCGTGTAGGACTGCCGCATGCTGGGCATGCCGGGGCCGGGCCGGGGGGCAGGGGGGGGGATTGGTTGGCCTCACCGGAGCGAGCTCTGGAACCGGGTTGCCTCTGGCTGCTTTCAAAACGTGTGGATCGCTCGAGTCCGATCCGATCGCGGCGCACCGAATTCACAAATCCACGACCCGTGACTCCCCCCTCAGAACGGCTCTATGGCAGCGAGCTACCCGCGCAGGATCGGAGCGCGTGGGGATCGGACGCTGGACTTTTTTCGGTATAGAAGCTGACGGCTGCGTTATCCTTCTCGGGCGCGCGGATCGGAGTGGTCGTGGCCGGTCGGAGCGCCCATTCTGTACGGGGGCGGGGGCGGGGGAGGGTGGGCGGGGGGCGGGTGGGCTCCGCCCCCTTTAGTGCTCGCGTGAAAAGTCAGCCGGACTGACGTCATCGCCGCCTCCGGCCCGTGCCGCGGTCGACGTCACGCGCCGCTTCTGCCTCTGTCCCGGAACGGAGAGCGCGCGTGAGGGGCGATCGAGCCACTTTCTGGTCCCGCGGAGCGATACGCGCCTTTAGGGTCAGCTGGGAAAAAAAATCCACTAGGGTTTGATCTGTTAACTGTGGCTTGACCCCTTCACGGCAGCTGACCCCCTGTTCCAGGTGGATTGCTTCCGTGACGTCATTCTCGGTTAAATGGTTCATTCAATTAGGCACAAAGTCCATTAGCTGAGCGTGAGCACAGCTCTCATTAAGGGACTATAAATGCTGACTCAATTCTACGTCACACATCTCTAGCGTTCAGCACACACCCAGCAGCAGTTAAATTGTTCTGTAGCAAAGAAGCTCAGTGGGTGTCCAACAAAAGTCTTATGACTCCGGATCAAGTGTGTGTGCACAATAAACAGCCCGGGAGCACAGGACTCTACATACCAGTGTTTTTCCACGCTTGTGGGGTCCATATGTTTTAATGGAGACCAAATGAGGGGCCCAGTATATTCACAAAAAGTTTGAGATTCAAAACCTGTTTAACTTTTTCTGGTTAAAGTTATACCAATGGTGACAATGCATCAAAACAAATCAGTTTCTGTGCAAGTATTTGCAGTATCTGAATCATTAAAGTGGAAAACTACAGCAATGAGGAGGTGGCAAAGGGATCCGGTGGGACTGATTGCTTTCTATTTCAGAGAGCTGACGGTATAAAAAAAAAGTGTTTGAATTCAACCTGTGATTTAAAAAAAAAAAGGCTCTGATAGGTAATAAATGTCATTAGTGGGGTTAGAGTTTTCCATTCTTCCATTGCCCAGGACATTGTTTATCTTACAAATACTTCTGCTAAAGGATGACTCTGCTTCCTTTGATTCAGAGAGAATGTGGGAGGGTGCACGGACAGAATGTGACACTGTTCCAGAACATGGCGAAATGCACTGTGCATTTCACCGGAAAAGTGGAGAGAACATACGGGCCGGAGTTTGCAACATTAAAGCTAACAAAGTGAAGTTTTATCTGACCTGTGGTGAACACATTTGGCATAGATCTGATACAGCAGATCCTAATGAGCCAGACAGTCTCTGAATAACAGGCGTTCAAAATAAATACTTAGTCTAAAGATTTAAATATAGTCGACTGGAAGGTCTGTGGTTTGAATACTGGCTTTTCTGATCACATTTCAAATGCTTTTGGGCAGGAAATGGATCCCCTATTGCTTACAGATCTGTCCATTGGTGTGTTAAAGTTTGCGAAAGAGGGTAAAAACATTAAGTGTTGTATTCATGACGGACACACAATACTGATAACTTGAAGAAGTGTAAGTTTTGTGGTTAGATTTGACAGAATTATTAGTCAGAGTTATGTTAAATGTTCGTAGAAAATAAATAGCAGGTGGCTCTTGGACTTGTTTGGTGACATCCCATTAATGAGAAGTATTCCATCATGGTTATGAGTAGAGGTGGGTGACTGATGTCGTAAATGTTGCTTTGATGGTGTGCCATTTTGTTTTATCGAATAGACATACTGCCTGGAAAAGGTAACAAAAAGAAGGTGCATACACAGCAAAGCAGAGGAGCATGAAAGTGCTCCTTCGCGGAACGCGATCCTCGGAATTCTATCAGCGGAAAGGATTCGGTCAGGTGATTCTTGGAAACCGAAACACAACAATCTTCTAAAATGAAGGAAAAATGCAGCAATCGTTATTGTGCCAGTGACAATACCTGGTATTTGATGTAAAATATTGAATTTGGCTTACGTTTTGATTTAATCTCAAACACACAATTTGTTCAAATGTATGTATTTTTGGACAAAAGATTAAAATGCTACTGAACAAATCTTTTTTTGGTATTTTTCTTCTGCAATTTATGCACAGCTTGGATGTAATATGTTTGTGCAACACGAAGCACTTTTAAAACAAACAAGAGTTATTGTTCTGAAAGACTGTGTCCTGGTAAGTAAGTACGGTTGCACAACATTTAAGCGGGGGTTCATCAATTATTGTTATCAGAAATTTACAAAAAAAAAAACATAACCGAAAAATTAAAGCTATCAAAGTCTATGCATCACGTAATCCCAGCAGTGGAGGGAACTACTGACCCAGTCACTTGACCTGCCTTTATGAAAGCCTGGCAACACGGGGGATTTTTCTCCTTAGCTTGCTCCTTTAAGTGGATGAGAACAATCCGAAAGTGCAAGTGAGAATTAATATGTGCGGGCGGGTTCAATGCTGCCATTTGAATTAATCTGAATCAGTCCTTAAATATGAAAAATCACATCAACATGTTTGTGCAGCAAACTTTAACTTGACCTGTTCCAGATGTGCAGATGGCAGGTCCTGTTAGCCCGAGAGGCAAAGAAGTAAAACAAAGCACTGCACATCTTTCGGCCAGCATTACTTTGACTAAGAAATTTAGTAGGAAAATTGACTGTATTGGTGAAGACAACTACACAAACACTAAGCACTAGCAGAGCCCTATGTAACAGTTTAGACGTAAACTAGATGTGTGTCAGGTTTGCCTTTGGAAAGGCACTTCATCTGGGAAAATAGTTCGCTTTCAGGTGTCCTGTCGGGGATAAGAGGAGCTGACCTACAAAACCTGCCAATCACACAGACCAACAATAACAGCTTACGAAACTTAGCCAGTAAAGCATTGACCCTTATTAGTCAGAGAACAAAGAAAAGCTCCATTTGCACCAGACTGTGGTTTTTTTTGTTTTTTTAATCAAACTATAAGCTGTCTGACCGAGGTGGCAAACAGAATTAGAGTCTAAAAACACAGGGCTGAACAAGGTCCACCCTGGACATGTCGCGAGTCTATCAAAGGGCCACACAGAGACACACAACCACACACTCACATGAACTCATGAACTCATAAACTAACTGTGCTGATTGAACGCTGGCACCTCACAGAAAAAGGTTCCCTGTTCACATCCCTGCTCAGCACTCTGGATACTCCAGCTTTTTTCCACAGTCCAGTTGATCCAGCTATTATTCTTAAAAACTTTAGACAAACTGCTCTCCATGGAAGGGAGGCTGTCAAGAAACCATTCTTAAGGAAAGGGAAACAGGGAGGAAAGACCACAAGAGGTGGACTGACAACCAGTGGCAGCAGCTCTGAATGAGGGATGGATCCTCCCCAGAGCTGGAGCTCCACATTTCTGAGGCAGTGTGGGATCATCTGACGGAGAACGGAGCCAAAGGCAGCAGCAGGATCCAGAGACGAGCTAAAGAAGCCGGTAGAGCGGCTCCTGGCAACGCCTTAAAGAAAGGAGCTGCTGGAGAGGCTTCATGATGGAGGAGCAAGGAGCTCAGACTGTTACAGAGTGGCTTGATGGAGAAAAGATCCAGGCCAGAAAAAAAGAGGTTTCTTCAAACAATACAAACCATAGCTGAGCCAGAAAACCAAAAAATAAACTTGAAAAAAATCCCCCAAAAACTAAAACTAACACGCAAACAAAAACTTAAGAACTGAAAAACCATGTGCTGATATGAGTACACAGAGCTGAGTGACGACTGGAGGAAACCAGCAGTGTTAAGGAAGAAAAACAGTGACTGAAATCCCAAAAACAGACCTAACACACACTCCTTCATCCCACACAGACTCCAAACTGGTCTTTAAATGGGCCGACATAAAAACAAACAAGCATGTGGACTCATTACTTGGGCCAAAGTAGAGTCAGTAATTCATAGTAGTTTTGTTTTTAAGCTGAAGAGCCTATAGACAACCAACTTTCTATCTTTAAGAAACTCTTAAAGACCCACCTCTTCAAAGAGCATCTCTTTTCCTGACTCTGACCCATGCCACTGTACCCCCCTACTACTCTTTCTGCACTTCCTTATCTCTCTCTTGCTACCACCACCGATTCTGACTAGGGATTTTCCTCTAGAGAACGTATTGTCATATTGATGATAACTGTAAAATTGTGTCTACTTTGTAAGTCGCTTTGGACAAAAGCGTCTGCTGAATGCATAAACATAAACATAAACATAAACACTGGCAAACTGCACACAGAAAGAACCCGCTGAGATTCAGTGCTTTAAAAGCCAAGCCCCACACCACTGTCCAGCCTGTGCACACTCCCTGTTTGCACTTTGGGCTCTTCTTTCCCCTCCATTTAAACACCGACCTGCTTGCTTTGCTCACAAACACGCGCTTCATGTTCTGGCTATGCGGCGGCTGTTTCTTCGTAACATTTCCCCGGAGATGCGAGGATCTGGCCTCGGCCGGCTTTACCGGGCCGCCTCTCAGCGCCGCCGTGTTACTGTAACCTTTGTGTTGGAACAACAAAAGGCAGCCAGTGGGGCGCCATACAGCCAGCTGGCGGGGCACGCAATGTTCTCCTGAGGCAATACTTTTCACAGCGGGATATAGAAAACAATCTAAGTAGATTTAAAGTGAGACGTTTGGCGACGTCGTTAAAAAATATTGTCTCGGTTTGAATTCGATGATGACAACCCGCCCCAAAGAATGACAGCGGCGCTTGCATAATTATCGCAATTCAGTGCTGTTTACATAAAACAGAACTGCTCCCAGTGTGTGAAAACATGAGGGGGGGGGAATGAGATGATGAAGACATTTAACATTCAAAGAACATTTTCAAGAACAAGCCACTTATATAAAGTGGACTCGTGACCTCCAGTTTGAAGGAGTGGATTTTTAGCTGAGCAGCTAAAAAAAAACACCTACTGTACATGGGAAAGAGGATCAAGCCTTGGAATGGAACTGGTTTGACCAACACTGCCCCCCTTTGGTAAAACCCTGTGCTACCAGCGGTGGAAATGACATGGAATGAGTGTGCCTTCATCCCAGTCAGGCTGATCTTCTGAGGGGAATGCATCTCCTATCAACAAAGGGAACACGGGGCTTTTGTCTTACCGTGGACTCTCTGCCGGGGGGGTCGGACAGCCCGTTGGAGCTCGTCTCCCGCGCAGACGAGCTGAAGGCTCGGCTGCTCCTGCTGCTGAAGGCCTCTTGGGTGGAGCTCCGGGACAGACCTGAGATGCCTGGCCGTAAGCCCCGGTCGTACGAGTCGGTCTCGGCTGCCGCCCGGGCGCGGTAGCTTCGCAGGGCACTGCTCGAGGAGGACGAGGAGGAGGAGGAAGCATCGTTAAGGCCCAAAGAGGCCAAGTCCCTGCTCAAGTCGCTCTGTGACGCCGATTTTCGCCGACTGAGCAGGTAACTGGAGGCCACCGGTGACGAGGAGAGGTAGCTGGACGGGGCCGGGGAGGCGGAGTAGGAGCTGTAGGCGGAGTAGGAGGAACCCCCGCTCAGCCCCAAGCCCCCATAGTTCTTGACGGGGGTTCTGCTGAGGCTCTCGCTCCGGCGGCTGCCGATGCTCCCGAGGAGGTCGGCGCGTGGAATGGTGCGGCCTCGGTCGCAGTCCGGGTCTGAGGAGGTGCTGTAGTTGCGGCTGCGGACGGCGGAGCTGCTCAGGTAGGAGGAGTAACCTGAGGAGGAGGCGGAGGAGGAGGAGGAGGAGGTGGGGGACCTGTAGGTGGACAGCCTGTCCCGCTCGCCGTAGGAGCTAAGGCCGGGGGTCAGGCTGGAGCTGTAGGAGCCGTAGTGGCCGCTGTAGGAGGGGCCGGCGCAGCGCTTGGCGGTGGAGGAGACGCGAGACATTCTGCTGCTGCTGCCGCCGGGGGTTTGTCAGCCACGGGGAGGGACAGCCTCTGGAAGACTGCATCAACTGCACACAAGCAAAGAGACACGGGCTCTGCGTTAGTTCATCCGCAACAAATAAATCAGTGGCTCCCATAAAGCAACAGCACGGGCACTGGTTGGACCTTCACTTACTCCTAATTACTTGCTACTAATAATCTACTACTAATGTCTTCATCAAAACCTAAAACTCACGAGACCCTCTGTGTGGCACATCGTCTCAAACAAGGAGCCTTCTTGTTTCCTGCCTTTTAAAGGATTAGTTCAGCCCATCTAAATCAATCCCGTTTATTTTCCAGTTTGAGAGCAGGCGGTTTTCTGCCGCTTGTTCCAAATATCATTAAAAATAGAGCCGGAGTCATCAACATTTCTCCTGGAACAAAGTTCCCCATGAAAGAAATGGTCTCCTGTCCTTTAAAGCATATCACTGCTGTATCTATTTATCCGCTTCGTCCACATTTTGAAGGTATTGTTTACATTTTTAAACACTTCACATGTTGAATTAAAATACCTTATGAATCACAAAATGGTGAACAATTTCTGCAGCGTGACCAATGAAAGCAGGTTTGATCCAGTGGAAAACAAGCCTTGTGTCCAGTAGTTACTATAATATAATTTCCCTGTGATTTTCCCTGTCCTTTTATTATCTATGTTGATCTTGCCCCTTTCTTGTGTTCTAGTTCTAGTTCTAGTTTAGCGTTTCCTGTTTAGTTGTGGTTACTGTCTCTGTTTCCGTTGTCCTCCTCTTCCCGTGTCTCTGCCACCCTTACTCCTGTACCTCAGCTACCTCTGGTTCTCCTCATTAACTCCACCTCCCTGACCTGTTTTGTCTGTCCTCAGCTGCCTTTAATCACTTTCTTTTTATTAAAAACCTCCTGGTTTCTTCATTTCTTGTCAGCTTCTTGCTGTTTTCCACACATTGTCATTGGCTCCCCCCTTGTGTCTCATTCTGGTTATTTATAGGTTACTATATTTTTTGTTTAAAAAAAAATAGTTGTAGGATTTTGGTTTTGTTTCTAAAGTTCAGTTGTTGGTATTTTCATTGTAAACCATGGTGACGGAACTTTTTCAGTTTGCTTCAGATTCTAATGGAGGATCTTGTGAACTACAATACAGTTAAATTATACAAATTATCTGGTCAAATGTTGAAATTGAGCCCACACAAAAATTCATGTAAAACCAGCTAAAACAAACAAAAAAGAGGGAAAGAGAAACACTCTGATTAAAGGGCCAGCATTGTAGAATCTGCTGTGTGTCTGGGCCTCACAAGGACCTCTGTATTTGGGTCTAAGTACATAATACTGCAGTTGCAAGCAAGAGCCTTATAGATTTATGCCATGTCATTCAACTCTGAGGAGCATTGTAAGCAACCATGAGGTCTGGGGTTCTGATCGGGTGGAAAACTGACTGGAACCTGCTGCCTCTGCAACGGTAATCCAGGTCCAAAGTGAGAAAAATGGAGGAAACATAGAACAGAACCTCCTTTTTGTTCACAAAGCACCCCAGCAACAGCGCTCTGTGGCCCCAAACAGCCGCAGCATAGGTTGTTCCCGTGGCAGCCAGCTCCAGTTCTCATGCGCAGCAGCATCTGAATAAATAAAAGTATCTGGTGTTGCTGATCTGTGCTGAGTTCAGTGAGTCGGGCTCAGATTTCTTCAACTGGTCCGCTTCCATTCCTTTCTCTCTCCTGCTCCTCGGCCTCCCCCTTTAGGAGCACCTTCTTCTCTTCAGTGTTATTGTTATTGGCTTCGGTGTCCCTATGGCCTTCTACCTGTGCTACTCTCTCTCTCTGTCTCTTTCTCTCTGAGTTTGCGTGAGCGCTGGTTTATCAATAATTCAGCATACGGATCTGGGGTAGGCACAGGAGCACTGCGCTTAAAGCAGGCTAACCCGGGCTGCCGGCCAGAGAAAACAGGCCGGACTGAGCAGGACTGAGTTAGCTGGCCGGCCAAAGCCACACTTTGTGGAATTAATCTGCTGATAGTGATGTTTGGGAGGCAGTTTATGTTCCTGACCACAAAGATTAAGTCTTCAGTTAGAAATTCAGATCTGGTAAAAAGTTTTCCCTGACATGGCTCTGCTGTGACTCCATTTACAAACCAGATCATGGACAGTTGTCTTCCTACTGTTGGAGTTGCTCTGAGTTTGTTCTGCTTTATAACTCTGTTATAAACCACTTACAATACCCAGGTAAACAACCTGACTAATATCATCAAGTAATATTTAGGAGTCTTGATATTCAATCATACTGTCATTGTTTGATGTCTTTTCTCGCAATCTTAACTGTTAAACAATTACTGATTACAAAATAGATTCTTACTTGGCCTCTCACCCATTTTCAGCTGTGATAAGCCGACAACCCCCCCAACCCCCCCATGAACCTTACAAGGAATAAGTAGTATAGACAATGAATGAATGAATGAATGAATGAATGAAAATAGATTATTTCTGTCGAACAAAGAGCTGACTACACCTCGGTGAACATCCCACACAGAAACAAAACTCTGTCCCTCAGAGTGGGTGTGTGTGGTTGCCTGTCTCTGTGTGGCCCTGTGATGGACCAGTGACCTGTCCAGGGTGTGCCCTAACCCCACTGGAATAGGGGTTTAAATAGGGGCTGAGATAGGCCCCAGCCCCCTCGTGGATGAAGCAGGCATGGGAAAGGAATGAATGAATGAATCATTCAGAAGGAGTGTACACTGTACAATACACTACTGTTTGCCTTAAAACAAACTGAGCGCGGCACTCCATTAAAATCTAAACAAAGCTTCTGTCAGTTGAAAAGACACTTCAGACCCACCACTAGTAAATCGTTCAATATACTGTACAACCATTTAAAGGTCTGTTCTCGATCGGCAATTGTATAATTTCTTACTAAACGCTGTTCCTGATTGAATATCAACCATTATAAAAAGGTCAGCTAGGCACCAACTTCTCTCATGGAACCCTTTCCAACTACACTAGCTATGCGTTTGACATCTGTAACTTATCAGATAAATCTCTCTCTGGAGACAGGATATGTACCACATCCCTTTAAGAACTTTCTTACAGAATCATTGTTTAAAAAGCTTAACATTCGTCATGATGTTTTAATCTGTAACAAATCCAAATGTAAATTATTTTAAGTGTCCATTTGCAACAAACAGTTTGCAAAAACATTTCATATCACTGAGGCTACATGACTGAACATGAATGAACCCTCCTGGCTTCTGACAAAGACTTTGTTTTGATATTGGTTGTGTGGGATCTCAGAGATGCATTTCATACAACTGACCACAAGGACATGAATTTGTGTGTGGATTCCATCGGGATGAAAAGTGAAATTAAATCTACACAAAACTGTAAACTAAACGTGCCAGTTAGCTCAAATATTTCAGCAGGAATCGGACAAAGAGAGAATACCCTGCATGTCCCCCCTGCTTTGGCTTCATTTCCTGTCAAGCAACTTGCCAATAAAGTTTGGGAAAAACTCTTTAAAAAACACATTTCAAAAATTGTCATCTCTCAGGGAAGTTATATTATTGCACTATATCATTTTATTTCAGAAATTGTTGGAAGCTTATGAAGCATAATGAAAAGTAATCGCAGATGGCAAAAAGCCTCAAACAATCCTGTTTCATTCACTATACTATGAAAAGGATGGGCAGGATTATTTATCTTCCTTAACTTGTGCAGAATTCTTCTTTTAACAATCATCTGAAATGCAGATTGGGAGTAGGGAGGAAGCTGGAGTGGCCTAATAGACCCCATCCATGAGAACATTTGACACAGGGGGGCCCCAGAGAGGCTACACCCCAGGAACCTAATTGCCACACCAACTGTGAAACTATTAGCACAAACAGGGAAAGAAACAAAACCCTAACTATAAAAATGGACTCACATAGAATAAAAATGTGTGGTAAGATGAGATTTAAAACTGGAAAGCTGGGATCCTGCCGGAGATATCAGGGCAGTAGGTCTCAGAATTTAAGAGCCATAATAGCAAAAGGATTTCCCTCCAGTCTGACAGGGAACCAAACTGTGCCCCAGGAGGAGGGCCGCTGACAACCCCATCCATAACTTGTGCACGTGTGGCGGGATAAATCAGAAATGCTGATGATGAATTTCGAGCGTCGAGCTCTTTTTTCAAGCTTCCCCGGTAAATGTCAGAATCCTGTGTTATAATATGTTCCTTCTCATCCCTCAACTCCCTGACATCACTCTTGTCAGCTTTCAACTGAAATGTTTCCTGGGTGCCTCTCTGTGACTTAAAAAATATAACTCAGGCTAGCTTAACAGAACCACATCTCTGGGAGTAACACTGTACCAAGTGGACGTTCTGGACTGACGAATAAAAAAACGTAAAGAACTAAAACTTTCACCTTTTGGGAGCAATTTCTCCACAAAAGCACTTCACACATGCAAACACACACACACACACACACACACACTCTTTGGCCCCTTCTACTGTTTCAGTCTCCCCTGCGGCTGCCCTAACCAGTGGTTGCCATGGCTACTAAGGCAAGCAGCTTGCAACAACACACACAAATGCCTTAAAAGAATGTGTATGGCATAATTCACAGCCAAATGAAACGTATTCTAGGATCTGCTGATATTGGCTAAATTCCGATCCGTCCTTCAGAGGATCACAGCAGAACTGCAGTCGGCATAAAAGCCCTCATTGTAGCAGGAAACAACAACTGCCCAGTAATAAAGACATTAAAATGACACGTGGATGAAAATAACTTTGGCCTGCTGTAGGGGGAACAAGATGCTCTGCCAGGTTTCTACAAAACGTGTCTTTAAAAAGCTTTCTTCTGAGAGGCACGCAGAGCAGAGCAGGAAGTTTTAGCAGCTGACTGTTGGTATTCTGCTGGCAAAGAGCTCAGGAGATGATGTTTCACCTACAGGGCAGGTTTCAGAGAACTCAAATTAAGAAAATAAACCCATCAACTGATCTGTTCATATGTGGAACTGGTGAA